ATGATTCATTGATATGGAGAATACTGTTTCTATTTATTAATGGGTTTGTTTTCCAAAGCAGTGATACAATCTTTTCCAATGTCTTCGTTCATCTTCCCGTCTAACTTATCCAATAACATTTACATATACATACCTCAAACGGTATTTAATGCATCCATTTTTGTATAAATGGAGCATTTTGTTTGGAACTGTGACATCATGAAAATTGGCACGTTTCTCGTTGGTAAAATACAGATCAGGAACCCATACTTTAACCATGAATTTTGAGTCTAGTTCAAAGTAATCGTCATTCAGCATCCCGTAAAAAATCAGGCGAGGATCACACCACTCTTGTTCAACAAACGCGTTGATTGTAAAATCCTGAAATGTTAAAATTTAATGTGACGAACATTTGCAAATGATACAGATGTATAATTGAGTATCTACATGCAGGTCAATATTAGAACAGTTTTGAATTAAAAATTTTATAAAGGTTCAGTGATAATGCTATCTATTCAATCTAGTTAGGTTGTCACCCAGAAACCCCAAATTATTATCCTTTATTAGACTTGACAAAGTTGACCCCCTTCATTTTGTTGTGAGAAGTCTTTAACAGTGATAGGGAAGTCCAAGAAGGTCAATGGGACTGTGACGCAACTATCAAAATTTTTAATGGGCCATTTTGAAAAGGAATCGGTCATCAAATATTCTTAAGGGCCATTCCTGGGAATAACAAAATTACAAACAGATATGAAATTTAAAAGAAATACTTTTTTTATTAAACAATTCTAATTTTTCACATATTGAATTCAGCACATTTTTAAAGGAACCCACATAGAATGTAATTAACGCGTATTTTGGTTCAAATAACATCAACAAGATCATTAGATAAAACTTTAAACGAGACTGAAAAGAATTTGTCCATCATATTCGATAGATCTCTCGCTATTTCTGAGGCCCCTATGAATAGAGCAGCCGCTCACTTAGTCAATGTTTAGTGTCATCAATCGTCACCGGTGTAGACGGACGTATGCTGTACAGTACTCGCTAGAGACAAAAAATAAATGCATACTTCTTCTAATGCAGGGAAGCAAGATACATGTACCAAAGAGACTAGCTTAGTTGCAATTGCACAGGTCAATGCAGTATACAATAAGTCACTGTAATAAAAATGTAAACAAGAGTAATGCAAGACAACGAGCACAAACATGGGTCGCCATTCCACGAAGTTATTGACAATCATAAATTCAACATTTAGCGAACTTTTAAGAAAGAGGCCCAGCGGCCACATCGCTCACCTGAGTAGTGTGGCTAGGTAAAAAGCAAAAATCAGTTTAGTATTAAAAAGCTTTATGCATGAGTGGTACCGACCTACTCCTAAAAGGCAAAAGGGGTAAAGGAGAGGGGGTACAATTTGATCAAACTTTAATTTACACTATCTGAGGATGCTTCCAAATAAAATGACAAACCATGGCTTTGCTGTTCTTGAGAGAAGATTGTTCCTATATACTCCTATGTTAAACTTTGATCGTCCATTGTGGCTCCTCCCTACCCAGGGGGTCATGATTTTAAACAAACTTGAACCTACACTACCTGTGGATGCTTTTACATTAATATGAACGATCATGGCTTTGGTGTTCTTGAGAAGAAGAAATTTGAAGCCTGTTCCTATATACTCTAATGCTAAACTTTCATCGTCCATTGTGGCTCCACTCTACCCCCAAGGGTCATGATTTGAACAAACTTGAATCCACACCACCTGAGGATGCTTCCATATAAATATGACCAACCATGGCTTTGATGTTCTTGAAAAGAACAGTCTGCTTATCGGAATGACACTTCAGTCACATTGCAGCCCGTTGTGGCAGAGTTGACATGGTTTAGGATAACAAAGAAAGATGGAAGCATTTTTCTTCAGATTTTGTATTTGTGTGTGATCTGAATCAGAACAATATCACAACCGTCTGTTTGCAATTCTCTGACAACTTGCTTCTACGCCCAGAGAGCACTTTCCATGATTATCTTTGATCCACTAATGGACAAAGTCTCTTGTTGCAATAACGAAATCGGGTCGTTTTATATATCAAAGCTATTCATTTTCAGATATATTTGATGTAAAGGTGCGATTTGTCCATGTTTATCTGTATTGATAAATTTTGACAAAAGCCTGCCATCGGGTAAATCTTAGAATATTCTTTGTAAATTGCATAATTATATTCCCTGCACCGTAATTGTTGGATATAAAATAAGACTACCCTAAGCAAGCATATGATCTTATAAATCCATCACGGGAAATATGGGAAGAGTATTATAATTATTAATGAAAAAGAGCGAAAATATACATGCTATACGAAACTTAATTCTTCGACAGTTTCATTCCTATATGTAAATATAACAAAATAGAATTGCCAATGAGAAAATTACGCTTCAAGACAACTTTAACAACAAAAAAATCCTGAGTTTGAAAACGGAATTTCATTCAATCTATGAACATTCAGGCCTACACTAGAACTTGAGTTTTTTCTTTTCATTGATTTTCACTGTATTGAAATACGAAGCTTATATCATTCCTTAGGAACTACATGTAACTGCATATCTGTGATTGCCAATAAGACTTTGGTGACACTAACTGGACAACCAAGTAAGTCAGTCTCTTCTTTTAGATTTTGTAGGGGTCCCTCAAACATGTTTATTTCACGAGCCTCCAGGCTTTCTTCATTCATTGCAGTGTGTAACAATTTTCATTTAATTTCATTGTGTTGGTTATGGCGTACCATAATTTCATTCTCACCGTATAGTCGTTACGGATAGGTGGTCACGGTTGTCAGACCGGTTTCTACAATTTGTGTAAGTGAGTTCTGAGCAGGCCGTAGAAGTGAGGCGTGTCCTTCATAAGTGAAAATGTTGTATGACCTTTGTGGTCGTCAGACAAATACTAGTAACTGTGTGCATTTGGCCTGAATGTTTAGTGTATGTGTTCGAGAAGTTTTCCTGTGTGGACAGTGGCGTGTCCTTCCTCAGTGAAAATGTTGTATGACCTTTGTGATCGCCAGACAAATACTAGTAACTGTATGCATTTAGCCTGAATGTTTGGTGTATGTGTTCGAGAAGTTTTCCTGTGTGGACAGTAGAGTATTTTTGAGTACTTTGGCAGCGGGTGAGTTTGAAATATTTATTTTCGTAACTAGTTTTTTTTTCTCTGTTTTGTTGTTTTCCTACAGTTATTACTTTCTAAGTTTTATTTGTAATAGATAATATACCCGACATATCCAATTATTCCTTATGAATGCGTTATTACCGACTATGGAAACCCAGAACCTTATATTAACTAATGTGTTATTATAGGTGACCAGCTGTGAATACATGTAGTGTACATGTGACGTTATAGGATACTGTGATGTTACCTGGTTACTGCAGCGTTGGAGGAAATCCTACTAATTATAAGACGTTGACAGCTGCTGTGGAATGTGTCGCAACGATAACAGAAACTCTAACCAACGACTGTGAGTATTTACGAACAGAATGAACAATATGGTAACGTCTTGGGTCATATTTATAGAAAAATCTGCGGATATGTGCATGTGACAAAGAAACATTCGTCTGGTCGGTGTATAGACACTACTATTATTTTTTTGTGTATTATTATTATTATTATTGTTTCGGTTTTTTTTTTTAATATTTGTGCGAATGTTGTAGGTAAGCGTGTTGTGTGTGTGCGCAGATGTTCTATATCTTGTTTTAGGCACTATAATAAACTTTTGTTTGTATGTACTCTTTCTTCTTTTATAAAGCTTAGTTACAGCGAGGGATTATTTCCATGCCATTATCACAAATTCTGACACAGTGATACTAATAGTCGGCGCACATAAAATGCATGCTTCTGGTATTTATCAGAAATCAGACAAGTGCATCGCATGCCACTGAAAGATGGTTTTGTAGTACATGTAATTACCACATATTCCTTGTACTTAGGAAGGACCTTGAGACTGATAATGAATTGATTTGCGGCTCTTTCATTAAAGAATGTAATTTGTGGGGATGCATTAGACATGTTAGGGACCTTTATCAGCTGGTGCTCCATCACTATTTAGGCCATCTCTGTATTCTTAAATACTTTTTTTTCTAAACTAGAAAAGCCCTTTCCTTTCCGCACCAAGACTTTCCTCTGATATCACAGAGAAACGCAGAAGCTATACAGATCTGTTGGATGATTCTTACAGCCCCTAAAATAAATATTGTACATGTGCTCATGTTTTAATCCGGAGGAGTAATAATTTCTTTTAATGTTTAAATAAAGAAAAGACAGATTTACTATCGTGTTTACCAATGTGTTCCCTTTTAAGTGCAGCGGTTTATGAAGAGTTGCGTTGACAAACTGTTCATCTCTATATAAAAGGTATGGCCAAAAGATATATTTGATACACTAAGTCAGGGTAAGAGTCGCCAACTCGCCATTTACGACTATTTTTCTGTGCGGTGAATGTATATTACTACATGTATATAAGTATAAATTAGCAGAGCCCCAACAACAAGTGACAGCGTCGCCTTATGAGTGAAATATTATCAAGTTAATCGTTTTTAAGTTAAATGTGATGGCTTCTTCTTTCAATCGCCAACTTCTCTAACTTATGTAGCAATATACCCTTCTCACCTGTAATTTGGATATCTATATTTCTCTCAGTTGATTCGATACGCAAGAGCATGTGCTAAGTGGAAGTAAATATTGTTATAATTATATAAACTCACCATTGATTGCTCGCTGATGGAATCAATGCTGTTGATGTATAAACTAACATTCACAGTCGACGATTCATCTAAAAAATAGAACAAGACGATTGATGCTCCCCAAACTTGTTGGAGGTCATTAACCTGCTTTGTATTAAAACTATTGACAGATGTCTGTTACCAGTACCATTGCACCCATATAAAGTCACTGTAGACAACACTTCCTGAACAACAATTAACTCAATTATTTATTTCAGTTTCACGTTTCATCAATATTTAACTTTCTTTAGCAGAAATTCTATGGCAAAATAAGACTATGCATGATTTCTAAACCAGTTACTAAGTTTGTAAAATATCATGTATATTATTCAATTTCTAACTTCTCAATTTCGATTGCCTGTCTACTCTAACCCAAAAGGGTCAGGATTTGAACCATTCTTCAGTCTACATGTACGTACAACACCTGAGAATGTTTCCATGTAAGGTGATATTAATCATCAATTTGCTTTTGCTCAGAAGAAGACTTAAAGATCCCCCCCCCCATTTCTGCCTCACCCTACATCCAAGGGTCATTGTTTCAGTGACGGATTCAGTAATTTCGATTCATAACAGTGGGGCGCAGTAGACGGTATGGGCTTTTAGGACTACATTGAAGCCCTCAGTGGGTTCAGGGCAAAGCCTTCGTGAAGGCCGGGAGGAAATTCCGATAGCTGACGAGTTATTATAAAGTGAACGTTTTTATTCAATTTTTCATTTAATTAAGGGTAGTACAAAACACGCATGAAATATGTTTTCACTCATTCCTTTAAAAGCTTGTAAAAAAAAAACCCCGATCTTCAGGGACTGCAAATAAGGAGCTGCATGATTGAAAATTGTCATAAAAATGTCTGAGAATTCTCAAATAATGTTTTTACCCATGGTATTTCTTCAAACTTCACAATTTAAGTTTATCATATTACTGTGAGTATATACGAAAAATCACTTTATCTCGAATACAGTAACTTAAGTTAGTTTTCAGGAAATACGAATCAAAGTTCTTGTTATACAATTTTAATTGAAAATTGATCAACACAAATATTTTCAAATTTTTTTTATAGGTATCCAGACATTTAGAAAAAATTTATGTTTTTATGACATATGTATTCAATAATTTTGTTTTCTATTTGGTTCAATTATCATAAAATACATAGTATTCAGTAAAACGTTTGTACTGTCATTGTATGCCATCAAAGATCACTTCTATTTGCGTATCACGCTAAAAAATGAGTATCAAAGACTATTATAAGAAGAATTTTCGATTTTTATTAGATTGCTTTTAAGATTTTTGTACTTCATGGCGTGCAAATGTCAAATTTTTAACAAGACCCATTCTAAGACTTTAAACAATCTTGAATCTTATTGAGGTGTGTAACATGAAAATTGTTGATTTTTTTCGCAACATTGGAAGACCGAGGTTAGATAACAAAAAAGTGCAGTTTACTGTCTCTTCTGAAGTTCATACATTTTTTTTATGATTTCTCATGATTTTTATTCGATATAGCTAAGATGAACCGATTTTTATTCGAGATTCGATCACTGAAATCCACCTACTTTTTAAATGAAACGCACAACTAAATGGTTCACGACGATTAACGAGCGAAAAAAGGGTAGTAAAACTCGCTTATATTTTTCGCGCGCAACTAAAAGTTAGTTCAAAATGTTCGTTCTTATAACGACAAATTAAAATTGATTTTAAAAAAACCTTTTAGTATCCAATATAACTTGAAAATTCATTCTTTGCTACCTTCTGTGTTGTATGCTAAAAAGTTGACGATGACCTTTTTGTGCTTGTGATTATTTTTCCGTTCGCAACTAGCACAAATATATCCATTTTATTACTATGAATGAGTCCATGGGCCACTTAATCATGTTAAAAGGATATCTAGTTTGATAATCTAAACTAACAATGCATATTACAATAAAAAATATTGATGGAGCCGCACATGCATAGTAATTCAACTAAAATTTCCTCCAAGGAATTAAGTTATTCCTTCCAGAGTTCTTTCCTTTTTTATCTTTCGATGAACGATTTAAGAGGTTGTTATTACCGTTAAATACACTTGATCCAATTTAGACTTGGATCACTGAATAACGAATATACGTTACTGAATCAGTTTTGTTACTATGCGGTAAGTTAGGTTTTTGTAACACAGGTACAGGACCCAACATCCTCCCCAACCTGAATATATACTATGGTCTAGTATACATTTATAACGTAATCCATATGGAAAATCCAAAATAAAAGAATAAAAGTTTTTGTATTAAAAATAATACCTGCAGCATTATAATCTATAGCAAACAAATATACCTGGACCCGGGGCAATTTTTGAGATGGGAGGATTGTTTACACAAGCACTTGTGCACTACATAAAAATGTAATAGTATAGTATAAAAATAGTAAAAGAAATGCTTAACTATAACGTAATATGGTAATAGCATATTCCAATTCCTAATGAACTATTCCTATTTGATAATTAGGGAAGTTTAACCTTGTACAGCACACAATTTGTTGTTACCGTCTTCCTTGGAAGACGGTATTGTATAGTTGAAGTTTTTTACAGTCTTCGGACTATGCACTTCCTCTCTTTTGTGATTGGTAGAAATTGCATGACGAGAAAATTTTCAATTATTTCATTGGTTGAAATGCTGTTCAAGGCAAGGGAGATAACTTTCTGATGATCTAATTTTCGTACGACTTAACAATTTTGCAAGACTTCCAATCTTAAAAAAATGACAAAACGAACAACAAAATAAACAGTAATTATTTCTTAATAACATTATATTTTCTATAGCAATAAATAAAAAGGTCTCTTTAATTTCATCTTAAATAAAATTTGATGGTTATTGCTTGCAGGCCTTACAATTTGTTATTATTCATTTCCCCTTTCTTGTTTGAATAGAGAATGGGAATCAGCCGAGGTTTGCCGAAAGCTCTCGGCAAGTCAAAGTTTACGGAGATGACCGAGCGACAACCGTGATAGGGCTAATGCCCGTAAAAAGCTAATTTATAAATACAAAATCAAGAAATTCAAAAGAATTATACGTCCTGATAAGTGAAGATATGTTTACTGTTTAAGATTGCTGCTAAAGACGGTAAGCTTTTTAAAAAAGCTCTACTTGTAATAATAGATGAATGATAAGCAAGATAACCAACAGTATTCAAGCTCAAAACTGAAAATTCCATAAAACAGTATAAATCAGTTGAAATCGACCACAGAATTTACCAAATGATGAAGTACTCACTGCTTTCGAAGTTTGGAGGAATGCCACTATCATATTCGTCAAACATTGCTTGAATAAATTCAGTTCTACAAAGTAAACAAATTATTACATGTCAACTGCATACTAAACACAGTCAAATAATTCCTATTATGAATTCAAAAATGACAGAATGACTTTTCCAGATGCAGAAATTGTACATAGCGTTATTGTTTTTGACTAAAACGCTACAGATCTCGTAATGCAAATACACGCATGTACATATATTGTGAAATGTACGGCGCGAGATTTTATGTGCAAGGTTTGGGATGTATTTCTCTCCTTTTCAGAATTGAACATTCAACTACCTTTCGTTCCCTAATTTTAGACATATTTAATTACTAACCTGTATATTTTATCCACCTCACAACCCTTTATAATCGTCTGTACATGCAGACCAATGAACTTGCTTGCTTTTTTAAATATATATTTTTGTGCAATCCAACAAAAAATTCAAAACGAAGGTTTAAAGGGTTGGGAAGTGGTCAAATCAAAGTTTACTGGTTTATGCTGAGGACATTTAAGGTAGTTTTCTTCTCTGGTTTCTGATTAGATGAAATTTTCAAAGTATATTTGCTTTTATGTCATATATTTACATGTTTACATGACGAAGCAGGTAACAATATTGTCTTTGTAAGGCTCATTATATACTGTACGTGTACATAATTTGGCGTAATCAAAATTTAGCGTGATCACTGGGTACATTTCCGTTCAGTGTATTGCATATGTAAATTATTTCTTAGCGGTATTCATGAATTAGCGCATCGTTGTCTGCGCTAAAATATGAAGCCCGCTTTTTAAAGTACACATACAGTAAATTGTATTTTAGAATTACAAAAATTTGGATTTAATTCTACAAGTGGTTATCCAACTTACTCATAGTTCAAGAAGCGGTGTAATCAGATGTGGGTACTTAGAAATTCCAAGGAACTTTTAGACGATTTGAAATCACAAGGTTTTACCAAAATCAACAGCTCGAAAACTCACACGACTTTTCAACTTTATATACAACGATAAATTAAAGTCAAGGCTTAACAATATTATTGACAGCTGCTTTTTCAATAAAAATGGAACTCGTAAATTTACTTGCCTTGTCATTGGTCATTTGCAAATAAAAAAAACATTTTGATTGTACACACAAGTACTCTGAAGTCGACATCAAAAAAGATGCTTGAGTTTCTGATTGACAATATCTATGTTGTTTTTTTTGGCAACCAGTCCTTCCAACAATCTATTGGTATTCCCATGGGTTCCAATTGCGCCCCGTTATGCAGATCTATTTTTGTATTCATTTAAAGCAGAATTCATGCAATTTTTGCATGATAAGAAGAAAACACTTGCTTTGGCCTTCAACAAGACATTTAGATATATCGACGACGTATTGTCAATTAACAATTGTAATTTCCATTCTTATGTCGATACGATATATCCTTGTGTGCTTGAGATAAAAGATAGCAAAAATTCTGACACATATGTTTCATATTTGGATATTTTACTTGAAAATGACGTTAATGGTAATCTAACGACCAAGCTCTATGATAAATGTGATGACTTTGACTTTTCTAAAGTCAATTACCTAACTTATGCAGCAATATACCTTCATTACCTGCATACGGAGTTCATGTATCTCGGTTGATTTGATACGCAAGAGAATGCCCTACGTATGAACAATTTGTAAAACGAGGTACATTATTGACAAACAAGTTGATAAAACAAGAATATCAGGAGTCTCGTTTTAAAGTCATCATTTCGTAAGTTCTATGTTAGAGTCAATGACCTTGTCAGTAAATACAATTTATCATTGAGTCAAATGCTGACTGACGTTTTTCATACTTATTGCTAGTCCATTATTTATACACTGAATTGACGACGGAATTTTCCGTTATTTTTCCGATCATGAGACAACCAATTTGTATTATTTTATGGTCACCTGATCTTGAATACTGTTCGTTATCTCAATATATTTTATGCAACAAGAAAAAAAATCTTTTGAAATAAGTATAGGCATCCCATGATTGGCAATAGTAATTTTTTTATTCTTACATGTCCAGGGAAAAGCTAATGTACTTGTCCTGACCTTGCCTTTTATGTAAAACGGACAAATTTAACATAACGTAAACGGATACCATCACTTAGTAATAGCGTAGTTGATTGTTCAAAACTGAACAGAGAATTATACCCCAAACCGTGTGCAGAAAATGTAGCGCCGTAAATTTTTGCATCACGAAATCAGTAGCGATGTGGTCAAAGATTATAAAATCTACTACTAGAATATAAAACCATAACACTTTAGTTTCTGTAGCTGTGGATATTCCAAAACAACGATTAAACACTGTAAGTAGAGGAATCCTTATATCACTGCAATCACATAATACAAATAATTATAGTTGATACTAAACCATGTAAAAATTACATGTCATTTTCTTTAGAGAAATTGGTTTATTTTCCACATTCAATGATTGAAAATTAAATTATATACATTATGTTTAATGATATAATCTTCGTTGATTAACTAGTGAGCGTAAACCGTCCAAACCCACGTTGGCATGCTGAAAATTTTGAATTAACCGAGTGCCAGCAAATTTTTCTTAACTGCCAATCTGTGAAAATAGAATTTAAATTTACAATCGGACATTTATACAGGTTTACTTGGGTAAGTACAAGTAATAATTATCATTCCTTTATTACTAAGTATTACTATATAAAAAGGTTGATTCTCTATAAGGCCATTTTCCGGCCTGCGATAAAATCGCTTTAAAATGTGATTTTATATAACTATAATCATTCTAGTTCATGATTTTGATGTTTGTTTTTCAACATCGATCATCTAAGTCACGTGATTTAGAGATTTAAAATGGCCGTCAGTTAAAGAAAAATTGAGGGTAGGTCTATTCAAATTAAGTTTCTATGTATATTTCTGAATGTAAATGATCAAAAATTGTTTATTTATGTCCGAAATACATCAGACCTAAGTAATAAATTGGAGGACTTTTTTAATTTCAGGTTCAAGATATTTTTTATGACAAGAATTCCCATGCATCCACATTTTGCATATTTTGAACGCAAATCTTTACGAAATTCACATTGTATGATGATGAAAAAAGGTTGATTAGCATTTTATTTGAAGTATTATATCATAATTAATTATATTGTAATTGTATATCATTTCTATAGATGTGTTACTTATTTAACGCATAAAATAACCATGTTAGAAATGAGGTTTCTATGTTTCTATTAAACTATAAAAGTTATGTATCAAATGTAAAAAGCACTGAATGGATTTTGATTGTGATTAAATAAAACTGAAGTAGTAATTAAGAAAAATTCAACAATTGCAAAAAATAAAGAATTAATAGCATAAAAACATCAATGCAAGTACATGTTGACTATCCATACACATTTAAATAGTCAATACATATAACTCAGAGCGGTTGTATTAAAATACTTAGTATACGTCTCTAAGTGAAATGAAATAGTGTCGTAAAATGGCTTCGCTTTTATTTAATTACTTGTGTTGCACGATATATTTAATTAAAAATACCATCTAAACTTTATGTATTAACATGTATAAAAGTTGAGAACCCCCCCCCTCCCCCGTTTCTAACTGCACAACATAAAAATGGAGTAGAATTTTAGCAGTTCCTTCGATTATGCATATCAGAAGTTTTCGTATATACTAGTATACGAACATCAGAGTTCTACAACATCCCAGGTACAAAATGGACCCTAAGGGTTTGATGCTCCTTTCGCACTCTTTAAACCTAAAGCTTAAATTCAGTCTCTTTCCCAGTGCAGCATCAAAAACTTGTTTAACACGGATAGTGACAGTTCCCTACCTACGAAAGCCTATTAGGATCAATCTAGAGAGAAAAAAATTTAAAAGGCGTTATAACGCCTCTTAACAAGGCGTAATAACGCGAAAAAAGGCGTTATAACGCCTTTTGAAAAGGCGTTATTATGCCTTTCCATTCCAAAAGGCGTTATTACGCCTTTTAAAAAGGCGTTATAACGCCTTTCTTACAGGCGTTATTACGAGTTTCCATTCAAAAAGGCGTTATTACGCCTATCTAAATGGCGTTATTACGCCTTTTTAAAAGGCGTTATTACGTTTTTCAAAAATGCGTAATTACGCCTTTCCAAAAGGCGTTATAACGGCGTTCTAAAAGGCGTTATAACGCCTTTTAGCAAGGCGTTATTACACCATTTTAAAAGGCGTTATAACGCCATACTAAAAAGCGTTATCACGCCTTTCTAAAAGGCGTTATTATGCCTTTCCATAAGGGTTATTACGCTTTTTGAATAACCATTATTTTGCATTTAACAGGCCAGTGCTTTTAATATAGCCCCCCCCCCCCCCCCCACCACCACCATCCCCACTCTGCTGGCCAAACTCGTCGGTAAAACTTTTTTAATGTAATAATTTGCCACAGTTTTACACACTGCAACAGAATTTTCAGGAAACAAGCTACCAATAGTTAATTATAATATTTAAACTGAGCAAGACTTTTCTCCAAGAAGTGTGTATTTGTGGAGGAGGTACCCCATTCGCACTCGTACTACTTGAAAAGGAAAATGGTAAGGCGTTATTTTATGTTAATAAATTTAAGAAAGATTTAATTAAAACCATCTTTATTCATGTAATTCTCCATATTTTCCTGTTTGCATTCATATTAAGAGAAGGCAACACTCTACTTGTAAAGATCTAGGATATAGGCAGATGTATCATGGAGCTTTGCTTGCCATGTATTAAAATTCATGTCATTTGAAGATATTTTTCTCTCTTGGAAAAAAGCAGGCAAACTATTTGCATGGGTATAATGAGCAATTAAAATTAATGACCCTTGGTAGAGGTGTGTCTGGTATTAAAGAAGGATTTAGTTGGTTCAACATTGAAAATATATGACGCATTTAAATGGAAATCTAATTGCTATCTGTTGATAAATAAGTCCTATATCTAATTGTGGAATTCATGTCCCAAAAGTAAGATTTCTGCACCCCCACCCTCCACCCCTCGGTTGGGCTAAATATGTTTAGTTGTGTTTTGA